AAAAAAGCAAAAATAAAAAACAAACCACTCTCCACAGTATACAAACTACTCTCCACAGTATACAAACCACTCCAAGTAACTCCTGGTTTTCTAACTCCTACTTGAAAGAGTCTACTTAATAGAGGCTGCTTTCAAATAATGTGAGCACATGGTTTTCAAGATCAGAGACAACATGGATTTACTTCAGGGGGATCATGCTAAACTAATCTTATTGATTTTTTTTCATTGGGTAACTAAAATTATAGATCAGGGTGGTGCAGTAGACATTGCTTACCTAGATTTCAGTAAGGCTTTTGACACTGCTGCACATAGAAGGCTTATCAATAAACTGCAATCTTTAAGTTTGGATTTCAATGTTATCAAATGTATTAGGCAGTGACTGAGTGACAGGCAACAAAGGGTTGTAGTCAATGGAGTATTTTCAAAGCAGGTCTTGTTACAAGTGGGGTACCTCAGGTATCTGTACTTGGACCCATTCTCTTTAATATTTTTATTAGTGATATTGCTGAAGGTCTTGATGGGAAGGTATGTCTTTTTGCTGATGATACTAAAATATGTAACAGGGTTGATGTTCCAGGAGGGATAAGCCAAATGCAAAATGATTTATGTAAACTTGAAAAATGGTCAGAGCTGTGGCAACTGACATTTAATGTGGATAAGTGCAAGATAATGCATCTTGGACGTAAAAACCCAAGGGCAGAGTACAGAATATTTGATAGAGTCCTAACCTCAACATCTGAGGAAAGGGATTTAGGGGTAATTATTTCAGATGAGTTAAAGGTAGGCAGACAATGTAATAGAGCAGCAAGAAATGCTAGCAGAATGCTTGGTTGTATAGGGAGAGGTATTAGCAGTAGAAAGAGGGAAGTGCTCATGCCATTGTACAAAACACTGGTGAGACCTCACTTGGAGTATTGTACACAGTACTGGAGACCGTATCTTCAGAAGGATATTGATACCTTAGAGAGGGTTCAGAGAAGGGCCACTAAACTGGTTCATGGATTGCGGGATAAAACTTACCAGGAAAGGTTAAAGGATCTTAACATGTGTAGCTTGGAGGAAAGACGAGACAGGGGGGATATGATAGAAACATTTAAATATATAAAGGGAATCAACACAGTAAAGGAGGAGACTATATTTAAAAGAAGAAAAACTACCACAACAAGAGGACATAGTCTTAAATTAGAGGGACAAAGGTTTAAAAATAATATCTGGAAGTATTACTTTACTGAGAGGGTAGTGGATGCATGGAATAGCCTTCCAGCTGAAGTGGTAGAAGTTAACACAGTAAAGGAGTTTAAGCATGCGTGGGATAGGCATAAGGCTATCCTAACTATAAGATAAGGCCAGGGACTAATGAAAGTATTTAGAAAATTGGGCAGACTAGATGGGCCGATTGGTTCTTATCTGCCGTCACATTCTATGTTTCTATGTTTTTAAGTTCTCTTTGCACGAAAGATACTGCAACCCGATATTTATTTCAGCCTTCTTTTATTCCTTGTAAATGATGTGTTGCTGATCTTCCTCTAGGCACAGTGAGCATGGGGTCCACTTCTGGATTACCGTATTGAATACCAGCCAAAAGTACACAATATACATCCAAACATAAATTTCCCTCTTACATTGTAACCGGTTTCCATATTGGGGGAATCTTGTTTTTCTGAAAAGGGTAAGACAAGAGCAGTGGTTATTATAGGCTGCAAATGGAAAGATACAACATTTCAAAACTTCTAAACAGTTTGTCACCTACAGGAGAAAAAAATAACATTAATTTGGGGATTTGCATTTTTTTCCAGGTAACATTTTATTTTCATTGAGCAGTTTTCTCCTGAAGAGAAAGCAAGGAGGTGTGAAAAATTCTAGGAAAAGCCTTGTAGGTGCATGAATGCTTAACCTCTTCATGACTAGCATTTTGCGAGATTCCATGCATTTGTGACTAAGGCCTTTTTGGCACTATTGATATATGTTTCTTCCACTGTGGGGCCTCTTTTTTGGCATATCCTTCTAATTTCATATATCTTTTTTACTTTCTTGTACTCTCCTTAATATTTAGACTTAAGCAGCTTCCCTGATTACCCCCGACTGCTCATCTTTGGGGTAGTGCGTGGTCAGGTAAACCCTTTTCTTTTTACTTACTTCTTTTTCTGTTCTTCTTTCTTTTAACATTTACTGTTTTATTTTTACTTCTATCCTTCTTTTTTCTTTTCTAGTTCCCTCCCAGGGGTTGGGATTCCTCGCGGGTTCTGCCTATGAGTGAGTGTGTTTGCAGAGTGGACTCGGCGGGTTTTGGGAACCGGACCATGGGGGGCCGTGGTGTATAGCCCCGCTCCTCTGTCTGTTCTCACCCTTAATTCTAGGAAACTAAATATCCTGGAACGCAGAACCCACTTCTTGTTTGAAATGAAGAAAAAGCATGTGTCGTGGCAATGCTACAGGAAACCTACTTCATGGCAGGTGCCGCTTCCAGACTGCAAAATCATTACTATCCGGCTAACTATTTCTGTAACCACCCAACAGCCCATAAGGCCAGTTTTGCTATCCTATTTGTGGGCGAGTTACAATTACGAAAACTCAAACACCTAGACTACCAGAATGATCGCTTTCTCTTCTTAAACGGCATTATTGCCGATAAGATATATATATACACCTTTGCGTCCATACATGTCCCAAACCATAGACAGGCACAATTTATTATGGGGACTCTAGTCAAACTATTGGAAGGGTGATCTGATCGTTGGAGGCTTTTTTTTTCTCATATATAATCTTTATTGAAACACATAAAATAATGCAGCACTCATGAATGTAGGCAGTTGGCAGTCTGACTGTTAGCCATTAACAATTAACACTTCACAGGAACCGCTTGCTAAACAGGTGTCATATGATACTGAACAGCTAAGGTAGAGGGGAGGGAAGGTATAATCTTTTCACAGGTACCTGAACTAATTGGTGATACATTTTGTCTTCCAAGCACAATTACCCCATTATCCTCCGGCTTATATGCCATTCCTCAGTTTACGACCGTGTTAATACTGCACTCTTGCTCTCCTGTCACTTGTCTCCTCAGGACCTATCTTAGCTCTTTGGGTTGACTACCTCTTTGTCCGACAGGAGGGCCTCTCCTACCTACGTACCGGTTAGTATCGACCATGAATCTCCCTTATTTTGGACTTCGACATGGACGTGGAGGCTTAATGAGGCCCTGCTTCTGGACCCCAGAGTCAGAGAGCAGCTCACTCAAGCTTTAGATCTCTACTTTTGGGAAAATGAGACGGCTGACATTTCACCTATCTCAATCTGGGAAGCGCATAAGAGCGTAATCCGTGGCACACTTATATGCATCGCCTCTAATAAAAAGAAGATGGCTCTACAGCAGATGGCTGAGATCCACCACTCAATCTCATGCTTGGAATTACAACATAAAAGGACTCAAGTGATAGAAGTCTGTATGGAGTTATTGCAAGCCAGACGCCATCTGACAGAACTTCTTACTCATAGATACCTTAGTTTCCTACAACACTCCAAAAGTTTTTTTTATGCCCATGCAAATAAGGAGGCAAATTCCTTGCATGACTATTGAGGTTTAGCCTCCCCTGCACACAGGTTTGTAAACTGAGAATGTCATCAGGAAAAACCTCCTCTTTTACAAATGACATAGTGGATGAGTTCCAGTTATATTACCATTCCTTGTATAACCTGTCCACACCCAATGCGAATGATACAGAAGTGACCGAATCCCCACTAACTAAGGAATACCTGCAAACATATATCACAAAAACAGTGAATCCCAAAACCGCAGAAATGTTAGATACACAGATTAGTAAAGATGAGCTATCTGCAGCTCTTAGAGTGACTAAAACAGTTATGCAATGCTTATACCACGGCAGACTAAGGCCCTGAATGCTGTGGCAGATGGGGGGTGGGGGGCGGAATTTGGTACGGAATCACTAGCTGCGACTATAAGTGTCCTACTAAAGCCAGGGAAAAACCCTGAAAATTGCACCAGCTCTCGCCCAAGCTCATTGCTCAATGTGGACGCGAAAATCTTCACAGAAGTTCTATCGACTAGACTGCAGTCCATCTTGCTAACATTGATCCATGCTGACCAGACAGGGTTTATATTGGGGCGGGAGGCACGGGATAGCATGAGACTCTTTGCTATACAACATCATGCTAGCAAAATGAAGAATGTGCTGGTCAACGGGGCTCTGACAGCCGAGTTTGGTATTAGCAATGGAATGAAGCGGAAGTGTCCCCTTTCCCTACTACTGTTTGCTACGTCCTTCAAACTGCTACATCAGACCATGCACCAGAATCCTGACATCCAGGGCTTTACTTGGCAAGGAGTAGAACATAAAGTTGCTGCCTATGCAGATGCCCTCCTTTTTTTGTGTTAAAAACACGTATCACATTGCCGTGCCTCTTTTCAGAAATCAAGAGGTTTGGTATATTCTCGGGCTTCAAGCTCAATCTGTCGAAATGCGAGGTGTTGAACATTACTCTCCCCACTGCAGACTATGTGGCTATGGACTCCCTGTTACCATTTCATTGGTGCTTTGGTAAAATGAAGTACGGATCCATAAGCCTTATATCACTGCAACTTTCTTCCCTTGCTGAAAACATTATTGGATGATTTGAAAAGATGGGCTTATGTGTCATGGCATGGGCAGGTAACAGTAGTTAAGATGAATATACTTCCAAGGGATTTATACCTCCACATGGCTATCCCATTGGCGTTACCAGCAACTTATTTCTCTTCTCTGAAGACAACGGTTATTGGATATGTTTGGCGGGGGGAACCATCACGGTTGCGACATGACCTGATTTGCCTACCCAGAAACAGGGGGTGACTAGCTCTACCCAACTTCAAAAAATATCAACAGGCCACAGTACTGCAACGAATTCTCGAGTGGCATTCGTTCTCTCCACAAAAACAATGGGTGACCCTGGACAAAGGAGAACTAGATTCCTCCCTGGAAGCGGCAATATAGCAGGGTAGGACCAAGAACACATGGTTAGGATGACACCGTTCTCACAGGCACTCAGTTCTTGGAGGGTGTAACGGACCGTTTTGCACACAAGGGGTAAAAACCGTTTAGGCGATCGGCCCCCTTTCCAGAGATCCAGGCACAGCTACTGCAGAACACCAAAACTCACGAACTGGATACAAAATAGCACTCCAACTCCCGAACTGGAACCTCCCAAATAGCTGCTAGCAGACGAACAGGAAAAGCAGACGAACAGCTTACACTCCTGGCAATCAGTCTCTAACAGCATACAGTGAATCCCCCCAAGAACGAGACAAGGCTCCGTGTTGAGGTTCAAGCAGTGGTCTGAGGTGCTGGCACACCCAGCCTGGTTTTTATTACAGTGTTTCAAATACAGGACCACCCACAGGGAGGGATAAAACAACCAATCATATCACAGTTACATCCCACATATTCCCTCCCCTTATCCTGAGAGGAAACTCAATTATACAAACAGTTAAAACATACTTTCTACCCAACTTTCATAACTCCAAAACCATACATCACATTCACATAAAATTACATATTCTCAATCAATCCATTCAGGGGAACAACATATTCAAAAATGGCACAAATCAGACAAGGGGTTCAAAAGTTAGTAAAAAGTCCTTTGTGACTAAATGAAGCATGGCTTTCTGGCCCAAACCAGTTTCAGAGTCTTCTATCCTGGAGATAAGTAATTGAATTATCTCCCAGGACAGACACAAGACTCCATTAAGCACATGGTTGCAAAAAGACACAAAGCACTTTAAAATACATAAAGTCACATTTATACATAAAACACAGACATTTCACATATCCCCAGATAGCTCAGGTCTGAGCGCACATTATTAAGTGAATGGCGCTCGGACCACACAAATACAGTTTAATCGCCATGGAGCCAAAGTCTTTACAGTCAGTTTCATACGAATGGGCTCCATGGGATTCCTATCTGGGGTATAACACATTCAAACAAATCTACTGAACCCCAGGCAGAAAAGCACGAATACAGCTTTTCTGCAGGCAAAAATAAAGTCTTTTAAAAGGGGGCCATAGTCCAAAGGCAGCAGGCGAGCAACCAGGCTTCTCCAATGCAATGTGGCGAGATTGGTCTCGTCACATCTCTCCCCTTTTCCAAACAGACTAACAGGGTATCTGACCTCCTGCCGGTCAGTGCCCTTGTTAGTCCAGCAGCCCACCCACAACAAATAATCAACAGCACAGCCCACCCACAATAAATGGTTACTACACCTGGGTAAAGGGGAAGCTTGTCCATGTCCAGGTGCCTCACCACGGCTGTGCTGGGTACGGGTACGCTGACTTGGTGGGTTGCTGCGTGGGCAGAGACCAGCGGCACTCTGCCCTGTTGCCAGCGCTACTGGGAGGGTAGCCTGGTGGAAGCCTGGTTGTTGGAGGGGGAGACCGACTGTCTCCCCTTTAAATACACCGCTCTGCTGCTGCTGCTGGAGACTGACTGTCTCCCCTTTTGTTGCACAGCTCTGCTGCTGGATGGGGAGACCGACTGTCTCCCCTTTGGATACTCTAAGATGTCGCTGGGGAGAGGGGGTAACAGGCTCCTCTCCCGATAGAACACTCTGCCGCTGGGGAAAGGAGACGGAGCTCTCTATTCCCTGCCCATTAATGATCCGCCGCTGGGGAGAGGTGGTAGCAAGCTCCTCTCCCATACATACTTTCATCCTCTGTGGAGGGAGACCGACTGTCTCCGCTCCCAATACAGTGTCCTGCTGCTGGGGAAAGGAGACTGGGCTCTCTATTCCCGGTAGGACACTCTGCCGCTGGGGAATGGAGACTGGGCTCCCAATTCCCTGCTGTATCTCCCGCTGGGGAATGGAGACTGGGCTCCCAATTCCCGGCACATCACTCGGCCGCTGGGGAATGGAGACTGGGCTCCCAATTCCCAAAAAATCATGCTGCTGCTGGGGGGCAGGAACAACTACCTCTGCCCCCTGTAGCTCAGCCTGCCGCTGGGGAGGGAGGACGCTGCTCTCCTCTCCCTGCACTTCACACTGCCTTCCCGGCATATCACTCTGCTGCTGGGGGGCAGGAACAACTACCTCTGCCCCCTGTAACTCAGCCTGCCGCTGGGGAGGGAGGACGCTGCTCTCCTCTCCCTGCACTTTACACTGCCGCTGGGGAATGAAGACTGGGCTCCCAATTCCCGGCATATCACACTGCCGCTGGGGAATGGAGACTGGGCTCCCAATTCCCTGCATATCACACTGCCGCTGGGGAATGGAGACTGGGCTCCCAATTCCCTGCATATCACACTGGCTGGGGAGAGGAGACTGGGCTCTCTCTGTCCCGCAACTGTAGCTGCCGGTGGAGGTCCACCCACCGTGGCAGCTGACCGTCACCCTCTGCCCGGTACAGCAGAGTCTTGAATACTAGACTCCTCACGAACTTCACGGATTTCTCAGCTGGATTAGGCCCGTAGAAGTTCAGCCGCAACCACATCATACGGTCAAATTCCTGTACAGAGTATCTGTACTCCACTGCTGGTTCCATTCTGTTGCTGTTAGGGTCGCTGTACTGAGACATGCGTTGCCCTCAAATTGTAAAATCCACGGAATGGTGTCTCCTGTAGCTGTCCTTCTGGTTGTAGGAACGATCCCACCGCTGCCACCAATTGTAACGGACCGTTTTGCACACAAGGGGTAAAAACCGTTTAGGCGATCGGCCCCCTTTCCAGAGATCAGGCACAGCTACTGCAGAACACCAAACTCCCGAACTGGATACAAAATAGCACTCCAACTCCCGAACTGGAACCTCCCAAATAGCTGCTAGCAGACGAACAGGAAAAGCAGACAACAGCTTACACTCCTGGCAATCAGTCTCTAACAGCATACAGTGAATCCCCCCAAGAACGAGACAAGGCTCCGTGTTGAGGTTCAAGCAGTGGTCTGAGGTGCTGGCACACCCAGCCTGGTTTTTATTACAGTGTTTCAAATACAGGACCACCCACAGGGAGGGATAAAACAACCAATCATATCACAGTTACATCCCACATATTCCCTCCCCTTATCCTGAGAGGAAACTCAATTATACAAACAGTTAAAACATACTTTCTACCCAACTTTCATAACTCCAAAACCATACATCACATTCACATAAAATTACATATTCTCAATCAATC